TTCAGTTTATTTTTCTGCATGACATAGTTTTTTTTTCGGTTTTTTTTTTTTTTTTTTTTTTTTTTTTTGGGACCTTTCTTGGTCCTTGCACGGGCTGGTCACCCGGGACCCGGGCGGCCCGGCTGGTAGCCGAGAACATAACCAGTATGTTCGATACTGGTGGTGGATGAACTAGTACCGCCATGTACATTGGATGTAGTCGTACTTTCTACTGAAAGTGAAAACACAGAGAAGCAGATCCTTCTTCTTGGTTTTGTCAAATGACGAGTGGTGTCTCAAAAGATTTAAAAAACACACACAACAAAAAAAAGAAACCAGAAGCACACTCAGAGGTCAGAAGTGTGTGCACGTTTAGTGTAAACCTCACTGGCTGGCGTTGGCCTCGATCGATCGATGGAAGAACCAGCAGAGGATTGGTATTTGAAAGTGATTAAAAAAGCGGTATTACACAAATAAGCGGTATTATACAGAGATGGCAGCGAGCCAAAAAAAGTATGTTCGATTGGGGCTGGAAGGGGGTTTATGTGCCCAGCGGGAGGGGTTTATGTGATGTGACATGTGCAGGATCGCGCGCGGATATCATATCGCTGGCAAATAGTGAAAGCTTGCTTTCGCCGTAAAGTAGCCCGGAATATGTATAGAAGCTCCTTTTACCATTTTTGATGGGGTACCATTTCTGATGGTGGGATATATGGCTCTACAGAGTCTACACTCTCTTTTTTTTTTTTAGCTACTATGCAGTTGAACGGGGAAGGAGTTCGTAAACGCGAGGTGCTGTGGACAAACAGTATAATATTGAGATAAAGTGGTACTGAATTCTGCTGCCAATATTGGAATATAATCACTATCTACAACTAAGAAAATTTCCAGCAAAACGATATTAAGTCCATTAATAATACCACCTATAGGCAGGTAAATAACGTAAAACCGGCTTCGTCTCCCGTGCGTGCGCGCTTGTGTGTGTGTTGTGTTGTGTTTTGTGTCTGTGTTTGTGTGTTTTGTGTCTGTGTTTGTGTGTTTTGTGTTGTGTTGTGTTTTGTCTGTGTTTGTGTGTTTGTGTGTTTTGTGTCTGTGTCTGTGTTTGTGTGTTTTGTGTTGTGTGTGTGTGTGTGTGTGTGTGTGTGTGTGTGTGTGTGTGTGTGTGT